GCTTAGATAACAAAGAAAATCTGTTTCTGTTTTCTGTCCACAGTTCATTGAAGGCCGAAAAACGGTGTATCCAAGTGTTTATGCGAGGCGTAGTCTATGCCATTTATTCTGCAATCAACCAGAGCGAGCACTCCGCGATGGGATGCATGCACAATCAGTGTTCTCTGATTGGCCAACCGCATTCTACTTGCAGTCAGTGGCACTTTCCAAAATAAATATGATGACTGACTCTGCTGATATTTTGAAAGAAGCAGCTCTTCTTGAAGCCAAGAGAAAGAAGCAACATGAGGAAGAAAAATCTTGATTTTTCTGTAAGAATAAAAGTGAAATATATTTTTGACATTTTGTTTGCTTCAGATTGAAGCGTTTTGTGTAAATTCGGAGCTCAGAATTAAAATGTTGAAACCTTATTGCTGTGAATCTCCTTTATCAACTCTTGCAGTGACAATTTTATAGATAATTTTTGGGTATATAGAGAAATTAAAGTCTTCTTGCTTTTAATTTCCTTTCTGAGTCATCATTATCAGGAAAGGAGAGGTCAAAAGTATGGTCATAGATTTCATTTTGGTATTCCTGAGAATCAGCCTCATCTTTTCTTTCCACACATTGTTGTTCATGTATAGCTTCAATGTGAGTCCTTGAGTTATGTAGAGTCAGTGTGTGTTCCTGGTTGTGGTTCCTAACATCATTTTGCTCACTTGAAACACTTATCTGAAGCTTGGTCTCGTGTAGCGGTTCCAAAGCAAAAATTGTAGCCATGAGTAGGAAACAGTTCACTGTTATAACAGAGACCTTGATCCATTCTCACCTGGTAAAAAATGTACCAAGAAATTCCTATTATCTCTCTTCCCTTGTGGTGTATCTATGTAAGACCGGAAAGGCAATGGAAAGACAGAACAAACATCTTTACTCTCCCACAAAACTAATAGCTAGCAAAACAGAAACAAATATCTTTAACCCTCTTAATAACTAATAACAAAAATGGCCTCTCCTTCCATGTTCTCTAACATTTTCCCTCTAGACCTCACCCACAAGCTACTCATGTCGATGAGCAGTTGGCCCGGCTGAGATTTTCTAAGGAAGCCTCAACATCTCCCAGCTATTCTATCTGCCAAAGACTTGGTAACCTTCAAGAGCTACATGAGTCTCTTGACAAACTTATTCGCCTAGCCGTGGCACAACATGCTCTAGCTCAAGAGCAAAACAAGAAATCCGTGGAGCAGCTTCTTGATGGATCCTTTAGGATCTTGATGGATCCCTTAGGATCTTGGAATTATGCAACACATCTAAGGATGCTTTATCTCAGGATTCAGATGAAAGAGGGCCTCAAGGAGATCCAATCGATTCCAAGAAGAAAGCATGGTCATATGAGAGGTGAAGAAATACTTAGCGCCATGAAATCCTTCAAGAAGACATTCCAGAAAGTAAAAAAGTCTTTGAAAATTACACAAGCCGAAGACAATAATGATGAATCTTTGGCTTTCTTTTGAGAAGTAGAAGCCGTCACACTTACTCTATTGATTCTCTCTTTAGCTACATGTATGGATTAGTAGCTTGTGGGAAATGGTCAGTCGTCTCAAAGCTAATGAACAAGAAGAAAGTTACATGCAGGGGCGGAGGCACAGATAGAGTGGAGGGGGCAGCTGCCCCCATAAAATAATATTAATTGGTGTTATTACTAAGGTCAATTTCTATCCCCTTTTTTAATTATTTTTTTGCCCCCACCGATCTTAACTGTTTCTCATTTTTCGTGAGATAAACTACGTAGATTGCCGCCAAAAAAAAAAACCTACGTAGATTTACTTTTTTCCAATTATATATGCTTACTAAAGTAAAACTAGTAAAAAGACATGTATATAAGTCAACTAGAATTAGGGAAGAAAAGAAATTCAGACCTATGGTATTAGGATCAAATATCTAAATCTTAAAAC